CGGAATGCCAGAAGGATTTGACAAGACAATTTACCTTATAGAGCTACCTGAGCCATCTGACTTTCACAAAAGACCAAAAATAAACGCTTTACATGTATTTTTCAGCAACTTCGTCAAATAATTTTATAGCTTTATCTATCTCATCTACTTCAAACGTTTCTTTACCTTTCGTGGGAGCACCATACATTTTCTCAAACTTTTCGAGTAGTTCTGTTTCAGCAGCTCTCATATCGTTAACGAACACAACCTTGACTCTATTGACTGTACTGTCATATCTTTGAGTTATATTATATGTTCTTCCTATCTTATATCTTTTTGTATTGAAGTCCTTCGGTTTCTGAACGATGTAAAGTAAGCCTTCACTGCAACGTTCCGTATCGAATGAACCATATGTTATGAAGTTATATCCAACAACTGGGTCTAACCATAACAAAACTATTGGTATAAGACTTTTGTCGATGAGATATGCTGTAGTTCCATAGAATCTTACCGATATCATAAGCTCAGGATTTCTTGTCAAAATTTTCTGAGTAGAAGCAATTTTAACCCAGTCGTTTGTTTTCTTTCCAGATGGAGATATAATGTCTGACAAAGAATATTTGTTGTATTTCTTTGAGTATCTTACGTTTAAATCACCTATTCTAACCACTTTGGTGTCATTGTCTATCTTTCTAACTGTTTCAAACTCAATGTTTAACATTTCTGTTCTTACATACAAAATAAAAAAATAAATAAAAATAAAACTAACTTTATTTTTTCTGTCTTAAGGAAATTCATGATTTCAGGGATTTTTTTTACGAAGTGCAAAAGTTCTCTTCGTAAAAAAATAACAGTTATATAATGAAATTTGGTCATTTTTTCACGATTTTCATGAGTTTTAGGCGACCAGGTTTTTTTCCCTACTCGCAATTTTTTACGATTTTCATGAGTTTTAGGCGAGTAAGATTTTCTATCTTGTATAACAGTTATATAATGAAAAAGTGTCATTTTTCAGCAAAAATATATTTTAGGGTAGATGGGTAGATCTAACCCGATATCTAACCTCTTTTCTACCCTCTTGAATTTTCATGAATTTTCATGATTTCATCGTAAATGTTTTGTCAAACATGAACGTATATGTTTTGTCAAGACTTCTTCGTAAATGTTTTGTCAAGACTTCTTCGTAATGAGCGTAAATGACCAAAAATATATTTTAGGGTAGATGGGTAGATCTAACCCGATATCTAACCTCTTTTCTACCCTCTTGAATTTTCATGAATTTTCATGATTTCATCGTAAATGTTTTGTCAAACATGAACGTATATGTTTTGTCAAGACTTCTTCGTAAATGTTTTGTCAAGACTTCTTCGTAATGAGCGTAAATGACCAAAAATATATTTTAGGGTAGATGGGTAGATCTAACCCGATATCTAACCTCTTTTCTACCCTCTTGAATTTTCATGAATTTTCATGATTTCATCGTAAATGTTTTGTCAAACATGAACGTATATGTTTTGTCAAGACTTCTTCGTAAATGTTTTGTCAAGACTTCTTCGTAATGAGCGTAAATGACCAAAAATATATTTTAGGGTAGATGGGTAGATCTAACCCGATATCTAACCTCTTTTCTACCCTCTTGAATTTTCATGAATTTTCATGATTTCATCGTAAATGTTTTGTCAAACATGAACGTATATGTTTTGTCAAGACTTCTTCGTACATGTTTTGTCAAGACTTTTCGTAATGAGCGTAAATGACCAAAAATATATTTTAGGGTAGATGGGTAGATCTAACCCGATATCTAACCTCTTTTCTACCCTCTTGAATTTTCATGAATTTTCATGATTTCATCGTAAATGTTTTGTCAAACATGAACGTATATGTTTTGTCAAGACTTCTTCGTAAATGTTTTGTCAAGACTTCTTCGTAATGAGCGTAAATGACCAAAAATATATTTTAGGGTAGATGGGTAGATCTAACCCGATATCTAACCTCTTTTCTACCCTCTTGAATTTTCATGAATTTTCATGATTTCATCGTAAATGTTTTGTCAAACATGAACGTATATGTTTTGTCAAGACTTCTTCGTAAATGTTTTGTCAAGACTTCTTCGTAATGAGCGTAAATGACCAAAAATATATTTTAGGGTAGATGGGTAGATCTAACCCGATATCTAACCTCTTTTCTACCCTCTTGAATTTTCATGAATTTTCATGATTTCATCGTAAATGTTTTTGTCAAACATGAACGTATATGTTTTGTCAAGACTTCTTCGTAAATGTTTTGTCAAGACTTCTTCGTAATGAGCGTAATGACCAAAAAATATATTTTAGGGTAGATGGGTAGATCTAACCCGATATCTAACCTCTTTTCTACCCTCTTGAATTTTCATGAATTTTCATGATTTCATCGTAAATGTTTTGTCAAACATGAACGTATATGTTTTGTCAAGACTTCTTCGTACATGTTTTTGTCAAGACTTCTTCGTAATGAGCGTAAATGACCAAAATATATTTTAGGGTAGATGGGTAGATCTAACCCGATATCTAACCTCTTTTCTACCCTCTTGAATTTTCATGAATTTTCATGATTTCATCGTAAATGTTTTGTCAAACATGAACGTATATGTTTTGTCAAGACTTCTTCGTACATGTTTTGTCAAGACTTCTTCGTAATGAGCGTAAATGACCAAAAATATATTTTAGGGTAGATGGGTAGATCTAACCCGATATCTAACCTCTTTTCTACCCTCTTGAATTTTCATGAATTTTCATGATTTCATCGTAAATGTTTTGTCAAACATGAACGTATATGTTTTGTCATGATTTCATCGTATATGTTTTGTCAAAACTTCTTCTTCGTAATGAGCGTAAATGACCAAAAATATATTTTAGGGTAGATGGGTAGATCTAACCTGTTTTCTAACCTCTTTTCTACCCCAGTTATTTTATAAGCGTTTTACATGGTAAACATTGTGAATTCGTGAAATTCTAAACAATTTCGTAGCTTCTATTTCTTCGCTGAGGATATCGAATGTTTTAACAATGCCGAAAGTTTCTTTATACTTCTTCTTGACATCTGAAAGAAGGAAATCGTCAGCAGTTGGATAATTTTTATTAAGAAATTCTAACATGTCCATTTTATTTTCTGCTGGCTTTTCTGCTTCTTTCTTTAAGTCAGCATAGTCGTTTCTCATTCTTTCTATCTCTTTGACGGAGTAGTTATATTTCCTCATTGCTGCTTTACATTTTGAACATTGCGGGTTCATTTTAGCGTTATATTCTGAAACCTTACCTGCAAGTATGACTAAGGCGTCAATGGTTTTCTTTAACTCAAAAGTTGCTGGTTTTATCTGTTCATTCCATACCTTACCTCTTCTATCTTTATCTCTTATCTGCCATACACATTCAGCAACTAACGAAACAAAGTTATCGTAGGTCTTAAATTCTTCAGATTTGTATATGTCAGAGATGTTCTTATATACCATATCGCAATCTTTGTCCATAACCTTATGGTTGCAATGAAATCCAAGGAACTCATAGTTTACCTTTCGTATGAACTTCTTTATTTCTACTGAGTCAGTCAGTCTGACTTCTATTTCATCGAATTCTGGAATAGTGAGTTTTTGTTGTTGTATTTCAGGAAGTTTAGGTAGATGGTCAATAATATCCTGCATTTCATAAAGATACTGTTCATTTGTTTCATCTTTCGCACTACAGTTTAGATCTCCTTGGAGAAGTTCTTGCTTTATCTTCTGGATTTCTGTTTCGAAAGTATATGAAGAAGGAATGAAGCTTTTCATCTCTACTAACATTGAAGTTGGGTTCATGACTAACGAGTTTGGTGCTGTTGTTGCTAACATGTTCTTACAATAAAAATAAAAAAATATTTTTTTAAAAAAACTAACTTTATTTTTTATTTCGGGAAAATTCATGACAAATTCAAGAGGGTAGAAAAGAGGTTAGAAAACAGGTTAGATCTAACCTTCTACCCTAAAATATATTTTTGGGTCCTTTACGCTCATTACGAAGAAGTCATGACAAAACATTTACGAAGAAGTCATGAAAATTCATGAGGGTAGAAAAGAGGTTAGAAAACAGGTTAGATCTAACCTTCTACCCTAAAATATATTTTTGGGTCCTTTACGCTCATTACGAAGAAGTCATGACAAAACATTTACGAAGAAGTCATGAAAATTCATGAGGGTAGAAAAGAGGTTAGAAAAGAGGTTAGATCTAACCTTCTACCCTAAATTATATTTTTGGGTCCTTTACACTCATTACGATGAAGTCATGACAAAACATTTACGATGAAGTCATGAAAATTCAAGAGGGTAGAAAACAGGTTAGAAAAGAGGTTAGATCTAACCTTCTACCCTAAATTATATTTTTGGGTCCTTTACACTCATTACGATGAAGTCATGACAAAACATTTACGATGAAGTCATGAAAATTCAAGAGGGTAGAAAACAGGTTAGAAAAGAGGTTAGATCTAACCTTCTACCCTAAATTATATTTTTGGGTCCTTTACACTCATTACGATGAAGTCATGACAAAACATTTACGATGAAGTCATGAAAATTCAAGAGGGTAGAAAACAGGTTAGAAAAGAGGTTAGATCTAACCTTCTACCCTAAATTATATTTTTGGGTCCTTTACACTCATTACGATGAAGTCATGACAAAACATTTACGATGAAGTCATGAAAATTCAAGAGGGTAGAAAACAGGTTAGAAAAGAGGTTAGATCTAACCTTCTACCCTAAATTATATTTTTGGGTCCTTTACACTCATTACGATGAAGTCATGACAAAACATTTACGATGAAGTCATGAAAATTCAAGAGGGTAGAAAACAGGTTAGAAAAGAGGTTAGATCTAACCTTCTACCCTAAATTATATTTTTGGGTCCTTTACACTCATTACGATGAAGTCATGACAAAACATTTACGATGAAGTCATGAAAATTCAAGAGGGTAGAAAACAGGTTAGAAAAGAGGTTAGATCTAACCTTCTACCCTAAATTATATTTTTGGGTCCGGGAACAACTTTCTCTCAATAGGGGCTGTAGCGTACTCTTTGCGTAAGCGGTTCAGACCTTCTTCGAACTCTTGGGCTCTCTTCGATTTGTATTGGAATTGGAATTGTGGGGCAGGGTTTTGCATAAACATTCAAGGGTTGGGGCAGTAAGGCATAGGCTGAGGAGGGTAGTTCGGGAAGCCTTGTGGTGGGTAGTAACCTTGAGGTGGAAATTGGTAGTAAATCGGAGGTACTTGCTGGAACTGAGGTTGCTGAGGAGACTGTTGTGGTTCTGCAGCTTTCGGTTCTTCTGGCTTGGGAATGGGCTCGGTTGGTGGGACGTCGGACATTCGTTTGTGGCTTAACCGTCGGACCACAACGATAAAAATCTCTGCTACTAGCAGTACTGCTACTGACAGTAGCAGTACTTTTACTGACAGTAGCAGTACTTTTTCTGACAGTAGCAGTACTTTTACTGACAGTAGCAGTACTTTATCGTCGAAAACCCTCTCAAATTTTCCTTTTTACTGCTCGTAGCAGTACTTTTACTGCTCCTAGCAGTACTGCTACTGACAGTAGCAGTACTTTTTCTGACAGTAGCAGTACTTTTTCTGACAGTAGCAGTACTTTTACTGACAGTAGCAGAGATTTTTATCGTCCAACCTTACAAATGTAAACTTATATCGTTCTATTTTCTTCACTAGGGTCTAACACCAAAAACCTTAACAAATGTAAACTTATATCGTTCTAATTTTCTTCACTAGGGTCTAACACCAAAGTAACCTATGTACATGAAATTTCACTGCATAAAAGGAAAAAACCTGCGCGAATCGGGATTTGAACCGAGGTCTTCGACGCCTTTAACGAGGTAGCCCATACCACTGAGCTATGAGCCGCTTACATATTCACAAAAATAAATTGTTTTCATGAGTTTTCTACGATGTTAGAAAAAATGTTATTTTCTAATATCTTCACATTCAATACTTTTTCAGCACTTTCCGTAGTTGTATATGAAAGACAATTCGAGATAAAAGTCATAGTACAATGGTATTATATGCTGCACACCGTTTGTTGTGAACCAAACTTGAAAGTCAGAGAAACTGTTACTAGGTGGTTCGTAGAATTTAGAAGCAAAGTCATAAAAGTCCTTACCGATACAAAGAAAACTGTTGTTGCTTGAACTGAAACTTGCATGACACATAACATTTTGAGGGTCAAACACGTTTCTCTATAACTGTCAAATCTGTTGGTGGGCGTATAAATTTAAACGGACCGTCAGGTGGTAATGGTTCGTTCTGGTTTAGTAACCGAAGAAATTGTGCCCAAGAACGTTTGTCTACTTCCCAAAATAAAAACTGTGTATCTCTTGGAGGGTTATTTTCAATCCTTTGAAATGAAACTGTGGAGTTCATCTTGTCATATTCTAGCTTCAGATAGTATGTTCCATTTAGTAAAGAGTCGTATTTTTCTTGAAATTCCCAGTAGTATTTGTTTATTTGAGTTTGAAAGTCATTTAGAGTCTTCTCAAGGTTTTCGTCTGAACGAATTGTAAAGATTCTCATTTCATCAAATTTGTCTATTAGACCATTAGAACCTCTATACTGACCATGAAAATATACTGCAAACATAAACGCGTTAGTTCTATTTGAAAACAAAACTCTTCTAAATCCTATTGCCTTTGCATCTGAAGGACTTTGAAGCCAACGAATTGGATAGTCAAACCTGTAAGTACGGGATGAAATTTCTTCATCTGATATAGTCCTACCGGCGTTTGTAAAGATATAGTCTAACGGTTTTGTATCTGCTACTTTTGTTCTTTGTTTTTCAACCTGAAACATTTAATATATGTAAAAATATACTGTTTTAAAAAATGTTTTTACTTCATGCAATTTCATATTTCTCATCTAACAAACATGTTGTCTGACTGCTTGAGGGTTAGGTTCATGCCATTCGAACTTGACACTTGCAATTCCTTCAATTGCATTCAAAATATCTGAGTCGGAGTCAAACATTTGTTCTCTCTTTGTAGTCTTGAAAGCGTCAAGAAGTTTTGCAGCTGTTGTGACATTGCCATTTGCATAGTAAATGTGACCATCCAAATCCGTTATGGTCAATCTGAGATTGTGTCCTTTCTTATTTCCGTCTTGAATGGCAGCAAGTACACCCATGAAGCCTTCTTTGTTCTTTCCTTCGTCAAAGTTTACTGTAAAGGTTCGACCAGATGTAATTTGACTTCTAACTTCACGGTACTTTTCATATGCATATCTTGTTCTTTCCATGGGAGCATGTGCATCTTCACCTTTTCCTTTTTTCCTTCTCAAAGGATGCAATTGTTCGTCATGTTTCCAGTAGAATCTGGCAAAGCCGTCGTGTCCTTCAACTTGAGGTTCACTAACATCGAAAGGCATGTCCATAAGACGTTCTTCTTCTAACCTCTCTAGTCTGTTTGGATAATTTGCACGTGCTGTTTCCAAATCCATTTCGTAGCGAAGACCAGCCAGTTTGTCATAGACTTTTATGGGTCTTCCCTTCCTATATTTAAACTTCTTTGAAACTCTCCAGCCATATCTTTGCAACTCTGCTTTTATTCGAGCAGACCTTCTATCCATTCTATGCGGGGGCATTTTTATAAAAATAAAAATATACTGTTTTAAAATGGTATGCCATATAGCTTCTTGAATTTGTTAAGAAGTATTTGAACGTATTTTCCATCTGTATCTCTAGCGTTTACATGAGCATAGCCCGTCTTAGTAAAATATACTTGTAATTTTCTATAGTTTACACCGGTATAAAAGTAGAAAGAGTCTTGTTCTTCGCTATAGTAGTAAAACTCAAACGTATGCTTACCATAGTCTGTAATTTCAATTGCTTCATCTTCTAGTTCGTCGACAAATTCGAATACAATATCTCTAAATTTGCCTATGTTCTTATTGTTTTCAGAACAAGTGACCCAACGCAAGTTTTCAAGTCTATTGTCGTTTCTTATATGGTTTATATGGTCTACAAAAGGTAAATTGTTAGGGTTCGGTATAAAATGAGTTGCAATGACAACATGTTTAAAATAGTTTTTTCCACTCATCTTCATAATAGCATATCCGTCATTTCGCTCCCATCCGCTTAAAACTCTTTTTGTCTTTTTGTTCTGACTTCAAATGACTCACAACAGTGAATTTCATATTTCTCATCTAACAAACAAGTTTCCCAACGGTCTTCTCCAACAAACTCAGCGTACATTTCAAATAAAATAAAAAAATATTTTTTAAAAATATTTTGTTTTAAATGGTATGCCATTTCATATTTCTCATCTAACAAACAAGTTTCCCAACGGTCTTCTCCAACAAACTCAGCGTACATTTCAAATAAAAATAAAAAAATGTTTTTCCTTTACTTTACGTAACCACCCGCTGCCAAAAGTCTTTGACGCCAACCCATACCAGCTAATGAAGGTTGGCTTGTTTTAGTAGTTTCCAAACTAAACTTTGGTTTTGGTTTATCTTCAGTTTTTGGCTCACCTTCTTCTATTGGTTTTTCGTCACTTTTTGGTTCCTCTGACTTTACCTCACTTGCAGGTATTGTGTCGTTAGTATCTTCGTAAATATCATATGCCATCTGTTTTTGTTTTCCTTTCAACTTTTTGTGTTTGTTGTAAAGTTTAGAATATTTCGACTCTAAGTCAATGAGATGTTCTATAATGAACTGTTTGTCAGTGAAGTAAACTTTTCCATCTGTTGTCTCGAAAATTCCTTCCGACTTCAATATTTTATTTGTGAGAGTCTGTTTCTTTTTTGAGATACTTGCCGTTCCATTTCTATGAAAAGTGACTTTGTAGTTAGGGTTTGTATTTCCAGACCTGGCACTTTCTATTATTGAATTTTTTTCTTCATCTGTAAGTTCTTTGACAGGTTTTGACAATGGTTCTGAACTTTTGTTTGTGGTGTCAAATCTACCGTTTCAACTTCTTCGGTCATTTCATCTCAGTAAAAAATTTTAGTTTGGTTTGTTTTTCAACTGGTTGTTTAGGTTTTTAAGTCGGTCTAAAACTTCCTGAGGTATAGGAAGAACTTGACAAACACGTGGTTGTGTAACTACTGGAAGTCGACAAATCCATCTTGAGCCCATTTGTCTCAATGCTGTATTGTTCATTTCATCTCAGTAAAAAAATTTACATTCCCCACGTTTGAGGCGGTTGCGGTTGGTTGTTGTTTACCCACTGTTGTGCATGGTTATATCCTCTGTTAAAGAATCTTTCACCTTGGTCCATATAGTGCCCTGCTTGGTTATAGTAGTCATTTGCTTTGTTATAGTAGTTTCCTGCTTGTCTGGAAACATTATCCATCCATCCTTGAACTTTTCCTCTTGTTTCAGGATTTGGAATAAGATTTGCTGCATCTCGTGCTACATCCCAACCTTTCTGTACAGTTTGTATAATAGGTTGTGCTTTCTCTTTCAGTATACCTAATGTACTCAAAATCTTCCTTCCAATTCCAAATGCACCTCTGGCTAGTGTTCCCACTGCTGGCAAAAATCTGGATGCAACTCCTGCTAATGCGCCAAATAAACCCATTTCTTATAGGATAAAAATGACGAATTCAAACAAGGACCCCTATGTTTCTAAGGCAACAAAGAAAGCACTCATGGTAAAAATCTTTAGTTCAACACCAAATGCTTGGTTTATGGATATCTTGGAAAACATTCCAAGGTATAGAGAAGATGGACCACCATACTGGCTAATATTTGTCGGTCAAAACACAAGATACTGTGAAGCCATACCATTACAGTCCAAAAATATTTTAGATGTGAAAACTGCTTTGACAATATTCGTTGACAAATACCATCCAACAAAACTGACATCTGACTGTGAAAGTTCTTTCAAATCAGACGATATTAAAAACTATCTGCGTTCAAAAAATGTAAACCAATATTTCATTGTCGACCAAAACCATTCTGCTCTTGGTGTCATTGACAGTTGTATAAAAATCTTAAGAGACTTAAACCAACCACAAGGTGGTGAGGTAGATGAAATGTCATATGACGACAAGTATAGACACTTCTCCATGGCAAAGATGAGACAAGTTTTAAATATTTACAATAACCGTAAACAAAAAGGTTTGGGAAACCACTCCCCCGAAGAAATGAAAAAACAACCCCGACTTAGAGAAAGACTATATATTTAATAGTTTAGTCAAAAGAGACAAACAAGAAAGAATGCCGGGCTTCAAACTTCAGAAAGGTGACAAAGTAAAAATAGAAATACCTAAACGCGACCCATATGAAAATACTATTGACTATGACAACAATGGGAACTCGACAGGTACTCACATTCGTGTTCGTAAAAATAGAAGAAAGTATA